TGACCACTATTCTTAACACACTATTAAAGCTGTAATTCACAAGAACGCGTGTGCTATTGTTCCCAGTTGGAATGTTTGTCACTTCGCCAGTGAACTCCTTTGAGAGGACTGTTGTAAAACGGTGTTTAACATTCTTGACCTGTAAATCAATGCAGATGTACAGAGATAGGCTCAGTCACGAAACCTGGGGAATAAGAATGTTGGAGGTTGTTGTGCTGCAGTTTGTACTGCATCAACAGTTAGGGTTCAAATATCCCTCTGGTTGTTGTAGATAACATTCACCCAGGAAGTTCATTTGGTGGCCAATTCCTTTTTTTTTTCAGTTTCTCAGTAATTAGGCAGCAGACCATGTGTGGGGTGAGCCCATGCATTCTGGCTGAGAAGATACTCAGAGAAGGGGATTTGCGGTTTGGGAAGGCTGGGCTGGAAAGAACAACTCTGCACCAGAGCCAGCAACTTGCCTGTCTCTGATTTGACACATGCACTGCACTGTGACAGTTTGCACACAGGATGCAGCCTCAGTATGCGCACGGGCGGAGCACTCTGCCAAAGCGCCTGGAGCTGAGCTGAGAAGAAACAACCAGAAAGGCCACGGCAGGATATCCTCTGGAAGATCAGTGCAGCAGTCTGGAGCCTCCTGGTCAAGAGGCTTAGGAGTAAAACGCTGCCTCAAGCCAATAATTTTAATTCCACAGGCACAAGCTCGTCATTCTGCTGAAATTACCACATAGTCTCACACAATCGCATGCACACGCAAACTCAAGCTGACACAATGACATGCCTGCACATTGTCCACACATTTATAATCACACTTTTATGACCACAAGTACAACCCTCAAGCCCCCACCTCCTCCCCTCTTCCATCTCCATCTCTGCCTCTTACACACAACAAATCAGCAACTTAGAGATGTGTGTTTTTGGGAGGGTTTTTTTGCACTGCAAGGAAGTTATTTTCCAGTTCAGATGACCTTAAAGTAGAGGATTAAACCAGTAATGCTGGGGCAAAAACAGGGTTGAGGGAAAAAGAAAATGTCCGATGATCAGTTGTGGATCAATACAACTTTTGACCCAAAGGTCAGAAGTTCAAACCTCAGCTACTCAACACATCAGTGTGTTCTTGTTTCAGGTGACTGTATAAACTTGGAACTATGATGGACTGTCAGTGTAAGTGAATGGGTGAATAGCAAAGCTATTATAATTGTGTTGTGTGTATATATTGGTTTATATAAACTAACTAACCAGCCAGGTCATTACATACACAAGTTCAGCTAGCTGCTTAGCTGTGATGCAAGCATCTACTCAACCATTCACAGTTTAGCTATTGAAAATGTGATTCTTATGTCTGTCTACATTTACATTTTCTGGGTTTAGAGAGGAGCTGAAAGAAGACTCTGGTGTGTTGTTAAAGGAAGACGGGACAATCAGATGAATGGGTTGATTCCAGACATTAACTGTTTTTGTTTTTGTTTTTTCTGTCTGTTTTTATTTTATGGAGTTGTGTCTGCAGAGGTTTTTTTTCTATGTATTTTCATTTCTTCTGCAGCCCAAACATGCAGATTGAACCTGAACTGTGACATCTTCTTTGAATGGCTGTTTAACAACCTTAAAATCAACAGGACGAAATGGGTCAATAAAGAAATAAATTAGGAATTAAAAAACTTTTTTAAGCTGATTAATTCCAGGGTATGTGGATCAATAACTAACAATTAATTGTGTGAAGGTTCATAAGTATGACCCAATACTACTCTTCCACACCTATCAGTATGTAATAAAGCACAGGACGTAAATACACATATGGAGTGTGGCCGACTCTCAACAAAGTGTCTCAGGGGGAAAAGCCTGGTTTGATAAATGCTTTCTTGTCAGGTACTATTTTCCATACAGTGTATTCCGTCATGAAACCTCAGTTAATTTGACGTGACGTGCCAGGCAAATCAATTCAAACACACCCACATTTATGAGTCTGAATTTATAGCAGTGTACATGTGTTAATATTCAGAGCTAATTGAAAGCGATCAAAAACTTGGACCAGTTCCGCTCGGGAGAGAATTTTCAGTGAATTAGTTAAATGAACAGTGAGGGGCCAAGTGCGTGGCGAATGGTGCACTTATCTTCTCACAAACTCTCCTTGACGTGTCAGGTGTTATTTGACTGATCCAACCCCACTGATCCAACGCTCTGATTTTCCTGCCTGTCCATTCCCAGAAAAAAGGGAGTGGGTCAGGCAGCCCCAGCTCGTAGCCAAAACACTATTTCATCACCAGGACTGTTTGTGTGACTGAACAGGGCAGGATTAGGACTGCATGCCTCATCCATCTTTAGCACTCCCAGCATCTCCTACTAAAACAGACAGAGATGGATGAGCCAGCTGGAGCGTTTACTCTTCTTTTCCATACACTCCCTCACCTTGGGAAACTGAGCTGGCCCAGTGGTGAGCATCATGGAGCAGCTTATTCCCCTGTCCTGCACCTTCCACTGTTTTAATGTTTCATGGAGCATGAGTCAATTCCGAGAGTTCATAGTGAAAACTTTCTTGCAATGAAGCCACAGTGCTGCCCACTGCAACACCATGCAAACAGCAGCTTTCAGGATTGTAAAGTGTTAAAAACTACTGTTGGTTCCTGCTGTAGAATATTACTTACTGCAGATGGTTCTCTTCTGGGATTCAGGTGAAATTTAGTGCAAACCTGTTGCTTTCGTATTGCATTAGGTTACAGCTCCTTGTCTTGCACAGTTTCATTAAAGTATCACAAGGCTGTAGAGCTATTTGTGGGTTGCCAATAATGAATCTTATGCTAACTGATTCCACACTATCAATATTATTTTATGAGAAATAAAAAAAAAACAGCCTTGGACAGCTGTAAGTCACTGTCAGCACCTTTACTCTGATCAGCTCCAGACTATTAATCATTCGCTTCACACACGAGCTCTCATGTGCTACTTGATCTCAGAGTGAGCTTATTATCCTGAGGCTCATCCTGTTGAACAAACCAAGTCAGTGGAACGACCAAAGACAGGGAAACCCTCCCCAGAGGACTAATCTCTAAAGGGAATGAAGGATTATGAGTAGCTGTAACAGTTTATGAAGAACACATATTAAGCAGAGCCAAAGGCTGAGTGTTAACAGTTTCCCTCTTTGCCTTAATGCTTTTTGGCCTAAATGACGGCCGACTGTCCAGGTACGGCTTTAAGTCATTTTCTTAAGTTCTGTCCGACTGGGACCGAGGTGCAGAAATGTGTTGGAGGTTGTGTTAATAGTGGAGTTAAATGTGTTGATGTTGTGTTAATGGTGAAGTGTGAAGTGACGGATACAGCATGTTTAGCTACAACGTACAAAGACCTACTGTAAGTCTGGTCCTGGTACTTTTGGTGCTGGGGCTCATGACTTCTTTTTTTAAAAATAAATTCTATCTTAAGAAGTTGTTAAATTATTAAATTTCCCCAGTTCATCTTTAGGATAATTTGATCACTTCTGTCCATTTTATAAATGATCATTTTTGTCTTTCTGGTTTCTTATTGATGACTGTTACAGCTGTTTTTGCTAACATTAAGCTAATTCTGGACTTTAAATTTTATATATATATATATATATATAATATCCTGTGCTGCAAACTGTTAGCTGCATTCTAGTTAGTTTTGTGTGCATTTACCATAATTGTTTTGGGTTTTTTTTATTTCCACTCATTTTTTAACTGTTCTTAACTTTTTCTTTGTCTTTTAGCAACTTGAGTTCCATGTTCTTTATAATTTACAAATTCTACCGAACTTTTGTGTTACCTTGTTATAGAATTAAGTGGAAGAATAAGACTTTCAAGTGTTTTAATATGGTCAAATCTAGTTTCATTTGAGTTAGTGATGGTAAACTGTGCTCTATTTATTTCTTGAATCCATCAAACAGCTGTGAGGCAGACAGATCAAAACCCACAGTTATTTATTGTTTCTTAAAACCAAAGGTTTGATCCAGGTTAAGTTCTCCATCCAGACTACAGATGGCACTATTGCCTCAGTATGGTTTGAATTGAAAAGCAATATCTCATCATGATGACCATAAAATTGATTGACAGCATTTATTCTTCTTTTACAAGTTCATAAATTACCATTTCAAGAGCAGTATTATTTACATTGGCGCTAAAACAAAAAGCTTCAAATCAAAAACTCAAAAATGTGGGAGTCACATAGTGTTTGCCCAGTTCCTGTAAAAAAATAAATGGTTGAGGCAAATCAGACCCAAACTGACCACAACCTGAGTATTAAACATGAGAAAATGACTTTCTACACTCCAGGCTGTGACTTGGTGACCTCTCAATTTAAAGGTTGTCCCAAAAAATACCATAAACTCAACAAGGGTTTTCCCCTCAGCCAAACACCGAAATTATGAGGCAAAAAAACAATAGAAATGGAAGTAGCAGCTGACCCTGCAAGGGTGTGAGACGACTTTAGACTATCGTTGGGAGCTACTCAGTCTGAGATTAGAGAAGCGAATGGACTGCCTGTTACATGTTACTTAATTGTGTTACTTTATTTTTGTTGTTGTTGTTTTTTGTTTCCAACTTGTGACCTGTTTATTACTAGCAGCATTCACCAAAGCTCTGTTAACATAAATGACAGATGTTCTACAGTGGGCTGAAGTAGGTTGAGCTCCTGGATGGTGTAATTGAAAGGCAGGGTTTCCCAGATGGTGGAAGAGGCCCCTGCTGTCTACCACTGCCTCCATAATCAGAAAGGTCTCTCATCCTTCTGCACTACAACAGGTGTCTGCTGGGGGGGGGGGGGCATGATGTCACTGAAAACAAACTCCACTCAGTTTTTTTTTTATTTAGTTAGACCAACAAGATGAAGTTTTCTCTCTACTTTATTAAGACATTTTTTAGAAATTCAACAGAAAAGCAGCTCAGTGCAAACATGTGGGATCTCATACTGTGTGAATAAATAAATGGCAGTTTGTACAGCTAGGTTTCTACGTTCTCATGGTTATAGCTCAGTTGTCCTAAATTCAGATAAAAAATAAACAAAAATGCATTTGGGAGCATGCAGTACAGTCCATTAGAGTCCAACTGCAGCTATTGCATTTAGCTTCTGCTGTCAGAGGAAAATCTTCACATGAGACAAAGAAACGCCTTTTACAGTTCATGTAAATGTATTAATAACAGAACTAAAACTCTGAAGGGGTTAAAGAGAGAAATGGTTTCCCCCAGCTGCTCCAAGCACCTATGACATGGTGATCTGCATGGACTCCAGCATCTCCTCCACCACTTTCACTGAGCCCTTGCTCTCTTTTGTTCCACGACCAGCCAGCTGCAGAGAGGTATGAACAGACAGAGAGAGAAGATAATTATAAGACATTAGCTCATTAGGTCTCTTCCTGAGAAAGTAATGAAGAGCCAAACACACTTCATCACGGCCTCGCAAGACGCATTGACAACTTCACCTCCTCTCTGGAAAAAATCCATCTGGTAACAGCGGTCTGACAGGGACACGTGAAGATAACACATGGACTTCAAGGTCTCTGTTAAACCATGTATAAATGCTACTTCTACATCCGTCTTGTGTTTAGAGAAGGTTGCCCACATCAATGCTGCCATAGCCTCCAGAACAGCAGATTATACAAAAGCGCTCTAATTTTAGCATTGTGCCCATGTTGGTTCAGAGGAAGTGCCACCAAATTATAATCCAGGACCACGCAGGAGATTACTCATTCAGGCACACATACTAAACATCCAAGTTCCGAGGCATATTACAGTTTCAAAAGGTGTCTGACTTGGACATAGTTAAATCACGTTAAGACGTGTCTGAGGTGTGGCCAACAGCTTTGAGAGGTTTCATCATATTTGTTACATTTGTCACATTCTTGCTCAGTTAAATGTTTGGATCCAATTTATCTGAACATTTTTATACCAATCTTTTCATTATTGAAACATTTGTTTTTCTTTTTTTTTTGCTTCATCTCATTTTCTCTTGCCAAAAGTGAAAGAACTTTTAAGAAAATCTTATTCATATGAAAGTCAAACTTTTTGACATCCCCTTGCATATTTGTTGAAGACACCAAAGATTGAATTACACACTATAACTCCATAGATATAATTCCAGGAAAATAACACCACTGGAGAACAAGAGTGTTGTTCTGCATGGGCCCAGAGAGGGTGAACTATACAGACAGTGGGACTGTCATATACACACACACACACACACACACACACACACAATCTTTTCAATGTTGTTTTGCCCCTGGTGGAATCTTCATTTCTTCTCTGCCAATGACCAGTCTTCCAAACAAACAGCACAACAGTTCAACCTTATATTCAACATGAAAAAAAACCCTGTTTGTTAATGCTGTGACACATCTATTTGATCAACCTTCCAGACTTCCATAAACAGGAACTAGCCTAACCTGGACTGTATTTCCATGGCAAAAATTTACTTTTCCTTTGTCTTTTGCCAAACTCCATCTACGACAGTTGGCTTAGGTATGTAATTGGCTGCGTAATTTCCAATGGTGACTCACTCTTCTACATTTAGGGTGGGTGTGTGTTTGTGTGGTGGGATAGCTATAATGATCTGTGCATTCATTGCTTTGCTGCCCTAATGCACCATTACCCCGAGCCCAGGAGTCAATTATCTCCGCAGCCTGAGGTGAGACCGCCACATTAACTCCTGCCCTGCTCTAAAACAGTAGGAGCAGACCAGACAAGCCTCATGTCTATTTAGAGTGTCTGATAATAGAGTCGTGACGCAGCGGGAGCCTGTGGTCCGTAACACAGGAGCTCATCAAAGAATCTGCTTATACAGTTGGGTCAGCACGGCAGGTTGAGCCACTGTTTCAAAGGCCCGTATACCTTTAACCCCACCACACACCTTTAACCATACACACACATATATACACATATATATATATATATATACATATATATATATATATATAGTGCTCAAAAGAGCCGCAGTCAGTCATGACCTCTGTGACGTCTGCTCCCACTTGCACTCCTACCTACCTTTTTCTCACACTATGGTATGACAATCACCAGGTACTGGGGCCTAATCAAAGTGGACTACTGACACAAGCAACGCTTTAAAGGCGGCCATCAATCAGCCGACACGGTGCTCTGCTGAGCGGCCTGCAGCTGTCCCACTGAGCCCCCCCATCACCACTCCTTTTTCAGATCTCACAAGGCATTTCACCGGAGGTAGAGAGGCAGAAAAATCCGCCACATGCCTTGTCATTTAACTTGTGCACACATGGCAGAGCTACAGATGTTCTATTATCGGCAGCTTAAACAAATCCAAGAATTTGAATATGGAGGTCAAGTGAGAGGACAACAGAGTTGAGTTTTCTCATTGTTATCAATGCCTGGTTAAAGTCTAAATATTATTGAAATTATATCATGTTTGTATAATGAAGAGGTACGTTAAAGACTGTGAAATGTGGAGCGCTTGTCCATCATATAAATAGGGATGTAGCTCAATTTAACTAATTAATTCATGGACTAATTCATGGAAATCACTCCATGGACTAATTTAACTAATTTTTTTTTCTTTTTTCTTTTTTTCTTTCTTTTTTCTTCTTTTACCTTTGTCAATATCTGTTCTATGAAAACTGAAAATTTTATAAATAAAGATGAAAAAAATCTAAAACATTAAAAACAGTCTGAGCTAAATGATTTGAGCTTTAGTTTCCTGTTTAAAAAAAATCAAAACTATTCAAACAACGGCACTGTCTTGTTGGCAAGAGTTTTAAAAGTAAGTTCTGCTCACAGGGCCATTTGAGTAACGGAGGTTTCTTCTAAGCACACCGCATGTAAAATGTATCTATAAGGAAACGAGGGCCAATGTGGTGAGAGAGGCACAGCGGGGAAGTTCTTTCTTAACAGCAGCCGCACATGCTGAGTAAGGAACCGCTTATTATGTTTAACTGTCCTAACCCAAATAAGCAACACATATGGGCTTGTACGGCAAATGAGATTTCTTTTAAATATGCCTTAATACTCGTGTTGCCATGACAGGGCCATAAAACATTTTAGCTAAACAATCTGAGCTCCTCAGTTTTTCCCCTCCATGCCTTATATGCATGTGCAGATTCTAATATGCGGGCACACGTGTCTGCTTTCTAATGGACACAAATTGATTTATAGGCCACTTGTTGTAAGGTTTTTTTTAGGCTGTAATCTGGAAAAATTACTGCAAAGGTTGAGCTAAAAAAATCAAACTCGGCTCAACGTTAGGATGGTCAGAGTTCCACTTTTGTAAACTGGACAACTCCCTGTAATACAATCAAGCAGGATTGCTGTCCTGAGAGAATTAGCCTGTGGCTCAGAGAGAAGCTCAACTGTGAAGTTGGGGTGTGGGATAAAGGCTATGCAGACATCGTGGCCTTAAGTCAACAGACTGACAGTAAATGCACCCAGACACACAGAAAGAAACCAGGGTTGTAATTTCAGCATTGCGAGTCAGTCATCCTTTAGGATTGCTGGGCATTTAGGAGTCATCTGGTGGTTACAAATACTTCTGCATACTATGCAAATGAAGGGGATTTCTGGATGTCTGGATATTGTGTGCAAATTCCCCATAAAAGCTTAAACACAACAGACGACTCAGAAGACAATGTGGCTGGCGGTTTTCAATGTCTGGCAAAATTAGGAGTGATGTGGGAAAAAGTGGAAAAATTCAATGTATTAGCTACAACAGAATAACGTGACAAATTTAGACACCATGCCATCAGGTTTCGTACTGTAACCCACCTTATAAGCTCTGTTTATTTGATTGGCAGCCCAGGAGGCATACTTAATGTTGTCCTTCTTCACCTTGGCACTAACTTTGGGACTGGCAGAGATGTGACTTGCCGACTAGAGGAAAAAGAGAGAAATGGGAAGAAGTAGTAGCAGTAAAAGGAGGGAAAAGGGACTCGTATCAAAACTTGGTGAAACAGCAATAAAGGCGTAATTGAGATGAATGAGCAACCACTCTTACCATCCACCACTCCACTCGTCATTGTGGCAGAATAAAGAGAATAAACAGACCCTGGCCTGATGACACAGGAGAAATCATTTATGGGAGGAAAAAGTGAGTGTTTTAATGCCCCATATGTAAATTGACACTCAACAGGGGCCTAATTTCTCCAACACCATTGATTCCTGGTGATGACAAGACCTTGTAAGCCCTAAAAAAAAATAAAAAAATCAGTGCGCACTGAGAGCAGCGCCTTGTGAATCACTGGTTCTGCCTGCCCCGACAGCTCCCCTCCGAACCACAAATCCCATGTCTTTCCCATGTTCCTGCCATCATCTCCACACTGCAAACCCCAGAGCGTTTACCCTGCCTGCACTTCAAAGTCCACTCTACCAGTGTGCTGAAACTTTAACTATATACCAATCAACCTGGCACTGTTTTTCTATAAAATGGTTTGGCTTATATATTTTTTAGTAAGCATTTTCTTTAGGTCTATTTTGTAGAGAGAGAGAGAAAGAGAGAGAGTGAGCGAGTGAAACCTCCATTTAGATGATGTCAACCAAGAAAGGCTATCCCCACATAAGTGTGCACCACTATGGTGGGGAATCCCCACGCAAGTGTTGTGAGTAACTAACCCACAGCCTGACTGTGGTCAGTGCTACCAATTCTTATGTGGAACTGACTCCGCTGGTGAGAGATAGTGAAAGTTTCTGCCCTTTCTCTGAACTTTTCGCACCTGTCAGGAGTCAAACCTTTGATGGACAAACTGACATACTTCTTAGACAGATCCATGACTGACAAAGAATAACCCCTTAACCCAAGCTAGTTATTAAAGAGCTGACTTTCAGTGAAGGATTTGACAGGAAATTATAAATGGCCTTCTGTGTTTGTGAGGAGACAAGTTAACAGAAGTGAATGTCTTTGGTTGTCTGCACCTTCTCACCCACCGACCCCCACCCCCCGGCTCTGCCTAAACCTCAGAGAATATGAGCTGCTTTACAGGAGGTGTTTGGACAACCTGAAGAATCCCAGTACAGCACACAGGAAACACTGGGGCTCTCTGTGTAAGACCTGTTTCCCTTCTCCACATTTTATCCCCACTGTTTATGTTTTTATGTCAGCTCTCAGTTACATATGATGCATTGGCGCGAGCAGACAACATCCTGTTTAAACAAATACATGGATGAAACTGCTTTTCGCCCATGACTTCAATCAAATTTGCACCCTGTTGGATTATTTGCCAGCTACAAAATACTTACAGACATCGTGCTGTTGTCTCTCTCACTCATGTCTTGTTCTCATACTCCAAAGCTTCTTTATTTACTTAAGCCGTGAACATATAGAGGGCCTCACCAGCATGGTATCATTACTACAATAAAGAGCTCCAGAGGGGCAGACTTTTCCTATGGAGTTCACCATCTGACTCAGCAGTGAACTGACCTGTCTGAGAGCCCCTTTTCCCCCGCCCCCCAAAAAACACATCTACACACACTGTACAGGCGTACTTGACAGAGTCATTGGCAAGCATCAACCTTGACAAACCGCAGACACAAAAAATATGATTCTGGTGATTTGTTTTTCTCCACATTCCCTCGCTTTTCTTTCCTTCCACACAGCAGTACTCACCATGTAGAGACCAAACAATGCCCTCATGTTTCGGTTGTTCAGCCTCAGCGCCTGGGCAAAATACTTTCTGGCCAGCTCCATGTTTTCCAGTCCCCCCTGAGTGTACTTCACCTGTGTGAGGAGGCATTAAGTAGTGTCTCAGGCAACAACAGCATGACATCTGAATAGGCAATACATGACAACCAAATGTGAACACATCTCCTTTTCATAAGTCAATAGTCCCAGTGACGTGAAGTGTGGTGCCACTGTCTCTGCTACAGAGAAGGCACCATTCACAGAGTGCTGACATTTTTTCCATACTTTGGCTACATGCTTGACGACAGACATCCAGGGGTGTACCTACCTCGGCATACTGCTCACAGTACAAGTGATTGTGAGGATTGGTCATCATCAGCTCCTCCAGGCAAAACGCAGCTTTTCCATAGCTGCGAAAATGACAAGTAAAACAGTGAGGCAATTGATAGACATGTCAAAGTCTGCCTCCTGCCTCCTCAACTGTGAAGCTCAATATTTACGTGCAATGAATTTACGGGCGTAACTATGGATTGAAAACGAATGGGTATGACAAAGTTATAGCTCTTTGAATGTTGTGGAGATCCATAAAGATCTGCCACATGACACAAGGTTTATTTAAAGATTTACTTTAAAAGCTGGAAATAAATGCACTTTTAGTACAGTTCCTGTCCCCAAAACAAAACTTTTGGGGACATCGAGGATCAACCTTGTACATCTGTGTGTTTTTTCAGTTTTTAATGTGTAGTTAACTACCTTCCTGAGATCAGCACAGCACTACAGTAGGAGCTGGCAAACTGTGTCTATACTCAGATGAGATCACTTCTCAGCAGCAGACTGCTGAGCTGTTGACCTCACACTAATCTGCTGCCACCCCACTTATATTACAGTTTCCTTTTATCGTACCAGGCCAAGTTGAGCTGAGATACATATATCACTGGAACATAAGGCCATAAAACATCTGAATACACAAGAAAACATGTGTCAACATATACAGACAAGGGCAGGAGGCAAGAGCAAGAGAGAAGAGGGAGCTACAGTGGCTTTCTGTCAACACATTCAGAGTGAACATCATACAGTATGTTGTGGCTGGGTTTACTTCATTGTCTGTTGTTCTTACTGAGATTTCTGAACAAATATAATCAGTTTAAAGTAAAAATGAAACTTTATAAATCTTAGTCTTTTATTTAATGTTCTAATTTAAGTCTATAAATGGTAGCTGCCTGACAAATTAAAATTGGAGGGGAAGGGAAGGTGTGGATAGACTTGGAGAAAAAACAAGGGAAAAAGGTGGTGGTGGGGGGAGTTTAAGAAGATGGTTGGATGGTTGGGGCTGCTTACAATTACCACTTCCTCTCCATAAAAACTTTCAGATGTGCTTGTGCCGTGGCCTGCAACAGAGCCTATTCCATCAGCCTCAAACAGACTCTTGTAGCACAGCCAGACCCTACCTCTGAAGCTCTTACTCCGAGCCATCTCTACTCGCCAACACACAGCCACTCTCCAAAGCTGCTGCTAAGCCCACTCTTTACCACAGCATTTGAGTAAAGTTGTAGCCGCCATCATGTGCACAGACTGAAAGAATCAAATTTGTTTCTTTTGGAGGTTGGTGAAACCATCTCCCATTTTAATACCACATACTGACTGTATAGAAGACAAAAATGGATTCAGACTGTCTAAAGTATGTCTAAAAAAAACATTTCTATTTATTCTGTAATTTTAAATGACCAGTCCAATTTTGCAGGCCTGTCTCATTAGCTGGGTCTGAATGTGCGTCAACAGCTGTGGCTCCATGCAATCCTCAATTATTGTTATTCTAAACACCATTGGTACTAGGACTATTTCAGTATTGTCAACACACAGGCTAATGATTACATATTTAATTTGTTAAATTTTAAATTCGCTGAGATGCTTACAACCTCCCAACAGCTGTGCAGAGTCATGCAGCTTTGTTTATTTTTTGGTTCCATGATTTTGTGCAGTCTGAGAAGAACCTTTTATTTTCCCTGCCATCAGGGGGTGACACCACCCTCTCTTGGGAATTTCACAGCAAGTAGCTCTCTCCTTCTCTCTTTCCATGTCTTGTGCTCCATCCCTCTGGAAAAGACTGGTGATAATACTGGGCAATCCGGAAAAGAGGGGGGAAGGGAAACAGAGTTTGTAACCCAAAATAAAGAGAAGAAGAAAAGAAATTGACACGCCTTCAGATAAGTGGCTGTGGGAGTGGATGCTGTGATATTAGAGGTATGGGGATAAGCCAGGAGATAATCCGCCAACCCCGGGATTTCCTCTGACTACTACAATAATAAAGCCTCTTGGACAAAAGAATGAAATATCCAATAAATAGCCTTCTCACTGTGCTACACATTCCTGCCTCAACTGCTTTGGCACCAGAGCAACAGAGTAACTGGAGTCAGTGTGTCCACACACATGCATACAAAACCATAGTCTAACCATAAACACAGCTTCAGCCACTTCACTCCGAGGCAATAAGAAGAAACAAAAGGTGATACATACAAAATCATTTTTTTTCAGACAATGCCCCTGTTTGACTGTTTTGTCTGACTCGCCTTGGTAATTAAGATATCAGAGAGTGGCCAGTGTCTTTCTGGACTCAGGCAGAGAGTAGTCTTTGGCTGAAATCCTGTTAGACTACTCTTATGTGACTAACACAGACAAGGCTCCATTCAGTCCCCTGGCTGAGTCAGGCATCTCACCGCCTTCCATTGTGGCCATCCAGATCAAGTCATCACACCAACATATAGCTCTTTTAAACTGACATTGTCAATCCAAACCTGAAGCTGTCTTGGGGGAAACAGGAGCCAAACGTTTGGTCTATTGTCCATTTAAAATTAGATTTTAAAAAAAGGATGCATTGTTTTAGATACAACTCAAACAAAAGCTCCAATTTGTAATTTCCTTAAAAAACTGTTGGACCTGGTTGTTAGATGTTCACATGGTATTTGTTGAATTTCACATTTATTTTTCCATTATATTAAACGGTCTTTGACATGTGTGCGTGTCTGTGTTACTAATATACCTCAGTCATACTCCACCTATTTGTTGTAAAACTTTACATGACTCTTCCCTTAATATGAAATATAAAAAGTGTATTTACTCATGTTCATTGATGTAGAGCTCGGATAACTCATGCCACGCTTCTTGGTCCCCAACAAACCTGAAACATAAAAAAGTCAATAAGAACTTTTAGTACCATAAATCACCTCATAACATTAATTTTAAAGCAGGGGCTGTATCTGTTACATAGTGAGGTCAAAATACAAGTATAATGTTGCTTGCTACAATACCAATAAAATCCAAACTTTAAGGGAGGCAAATAGATTTTGACTACTTAATGCACAAGTGGTGCCAACTCAGTTGAAGGCAGACTTGGTTTTTAATTAAAATAAGAGCCATGGGTTAGAAGGAGGGGATGTATGACCCTTTCTGAATCTTAAAGAAACACTCACTGCTCCAGGTACTCATTGAGCTCCCTGATAGCTTCGGTGCTTTTTCCCTGGGCCTTGAGTATGGAGATCTTGCGCTTCCTTGCTGCCTGTAGAACAGAGAATAAAACAATTGGACCTCTGCATCTGGAGTGTCTCAAGAGAAGCCAAAAGAGGAATAAAAGCTATAAAATTTGCCATGTCTTATTTAGAAACAGAACAAAGAAAATTATTTTACCTCTACATACAAGTGATTAAAACAAAATGATGGGGTTTATTAATACATTTACCTAATTTCTTCCTAATCTACAAACACATTAATGACATATATTCACAAACAGTGTAATGTGCTAGAAATCAACATTATTGCAGTGGTTATTTTTTCAGATTAACTAAGTGTCTTGTCCAAAGAAAAAAAATCTAAACACATACTAGTGTCTCAAAATGGAGTGAGGGTTGTATGCATTACAGTTTTCTCAGTGTATCTCAATCCAACCATAAAGCTCTGCTGTGCAGAAGCATAATACTAATTGATCCTATTATAATCTATAAAATGAGTCAGCACTTTAATGGATTACAACAGCAGCTGTAATTGGACAAAATGACAGTTGCATTAACCTTGTCGAGTTCATTTGAACCTTTTTACTGCTGAACACAAATGAACACCAAGCATAAACGGAGAACTCCCAAACAGTGGTGAGTCATACCCCAACCAAGTGGGGTAAATGGCGAACTCCCCTCAAAGACCAATGCTTGCCTGCCTCACCGCTAACACGGCACACATTTAGTGTTGCAGCAGTCCAACAAGCTAGAAATGTCTTTCAGGTTCATTTTGACGTTGGAGTAATCTTAAAGTGGATTTGATTCTCATCAATCTGAATTAGCAGGTTTAACTCTGGCTGCTCTGACTTTAGCAAATGTTAAACTCATCCTCCTCTTTCTCTTCCTGCGTTTTGTAACACGTTTTAAAAAAAAGTACCAAGAGGCTGTCACTCCATTAGAAATTCACCAGCCTGCCAGTCTGCTTTATTTATGGACTGGTACTTGATTGAGTGGGGCTTCCTCTTCTATACTCAAAGTTATTGATGGCTGTGCATGAGTCATGTCTTTGGGGTTGTAAACTTGGGCCTCTTCTGACACTTCCATCATCCTAAATCCACTTATCCATCAAACTGGGACATGGGCCGACAGAGACACTGCAACCTCCCGTTGAAATGGAAAAACGCAGTACAGTACTCTAGCAAAAATGTTTGCAAATTGTTTTTTTTTTGTTTCAAAATATAAAAATTAGAGTTCCACTTGTGAAGATCTCTCAGCTCTTTTAAAACATGTATGCCCAAGATAATACAGCAAGTGTAGCTCTTAAAATACATATGGAATTTGGAATTCCAGAGAGTCTCATAGGACTTTATTAAACAAGCGTTTTTTTTAAAAAAAAACTGCAACTAATGATCCAGAAAATCCCCAGAAGTGGGTTGTTCCTTGTGAGGTTGCCATTATTTAATACACTGGAATGGCCTTAAGACTTTTTACACCACCTTTGTGTTCCGACCTACAGCAACCTTTTTTTAAATTAGAAACATCATAACAAGGGTGGCTGTTACATTGTTACACAGGTGGCAGAATAATTGGTAGCAAAATGAAAAAAAAATAAATTCTGATGCAATGTTATACATAAAAAATAATAAGTGGGTAGATCCATGTATGTAAATGTTGTGGACACAAAATGACCTTAAATAGTCACAAGAACGGAAAAGGTGCATTTTTGCTTTTTACGCACTCAGACAAAGATTTTGCCAGATCATTGCTGTAGGTATTGGAACATAGTAAGCAATGGAAGGGCTAAGAGTTTGAAACATTTTTTGGACACTACTAAGCAAAAAAAACCCTGAGCAATTTTTGTTGATTCAACAATTTTGGTTAATGGGTACCACATCTATTCTGCAGCCTGTAATTACAACAGCTCAGTTTCCAATCTCTGCTTCATATTCTGGGATGCCTCGCAAGTCTTCCTGTGGTCGCCAATTTTCCGCCAATGCTCAGGCCCATCCCTTGCCCAACTCCTGAAAGCATGCTGTCCAACATTAAGGAAGGAGATAGCCCCTGCTGCAAAACAGGTGACCCGCACGATGTTATCATGTCACATCGGTCCACCCAAGTTGCTCAGGACGAGGATTGTGGGAAAAGGGGTTTAAGAAATAATATCCCATGGAGAGGAAAACATTTGTCTCTTTTGTTCCATTCCCAGCCCCACATGTGAACAGCCTACACTTCACTAGGGTGGCAGTATCCAACATCCAGAGAGCAGGAAACAGACCAGTCCCTTTCCGATGATGCCTCTGAAATCCCCAAAAGACATGTGCCACGCCGAGGAGATGGCATGGGATTTTATTCACTCCCATTATCAAAACAGTGGATGGATGGTTAGAATTTTTTTTTTTAAACAAAACCAAGACACTGAGAAATTCTATTAAATTACTCTTGGTAGTTTCCATAGGTGATGGTGTACTATGGATTACCATGCTATACTGAAAGCATAACAGCATTTTTAGACACGTACTTAGAGTCACTATTTAACCTTTACTTTTATATTTATTAAATAAAAAAAAATACACATTTTGTCTACTGTGTTGGAAAACAACTAGACACCTGTGAATCTAATTTTTATAATAAAGTAAGTAATCATCAACCACAGAAAACAGCTCTATTCCTAGCTAATAGGTCTGCCTTGCCAACCCAACTTACAATTTTCCAACAACTGAAATCTTCAAATAAACAGATGTTCTTGACAAAGTGAAGGTTCGAGTAAGCAGCAGCTGTGGCAGAGCATGATGGGAGGCAGTGAGTTGTCGGTGAGGGGGCTACACCTCTGTGCCTCAGTAGAAAAAAAGGCAGAAAGGGTGGGGTCTGTAAAACTGAGGTAGAGGCTAAGCTCTTTAAAAACTATTTAAAGTATGCTCTTTATGTTCAACTGTTAATACAGTACAGTAGTAAACAATAATGAAGGTGGCACAGACTTTTATTCTGTTCACTAAGGTTGGAGTCTGCATTGTCCTTTAAATTTTCAAAGCCCCTGGCTTTTATTTACAATTTACTCCCAGCAACATGTCTACCACTAACTAAGACCATGAATCAAACCACCTTTGTCCCCCCACACCCAGCCCCCTACATTAAACACTTCAGTTTGTGTGTGTAACAGGCTGATCAGCACAGCAGTGAAGGTTAGAGAGGCAGAGGGAAGTATAACTTAGCAAACTCACACCACTAACACCAAAGTGCTTTGGCAGATTTAAAGCAGCCAAAAAGATGTGACCGCAGAGTAAAGCAATGAAAAAAAAATGAGGAGGGGCTTTCCCCTTCTTCCCGAACGTCTTAGTCTTACCGTATTAGTGGGGTCGTCTTGAAGAATACTGTCGTAGTGCTTGTTGGCCTCATCGTACCTTAAGACAAATGAAGGACACACTGCTCATTAACCAGTGAAATTAAAGCAAAATTGGAATGTTATTGTATACAGCTTAGCAGGTAATAATGTTATTACATTATTATGTATAAAATAACTTATACTTAATTAATAATTTATACTTAAGTAATACATTATTTGTTTATTACATATGGACAGTAATCAAATGGGGGAGAAAAATAATTTAAATGGAATTTGTCAGAGATTTTAAAAATCAAATAAATAAGCAAATAAAGCAACAATTTCTATTGGTATCAAATGACCTCCCTTTTAAATAAAATTAAACATTAAGCCATAGCTCCACACAAAGCTGTTGGTTCAGTTGTCTTGCCCCTGGCCAATGCACACAATGCACACACACAAACTGAAAAAAGTAAAAAACCAACAAAGTCTATCCAAAACTGTTACCCCACATAATTTGTTTAAAGTGAAAATGTATGATTGGTAAATATTTCATCATGAAAGAGAGAATTAAGTAAATGAATGCACTTGAAATTTTCTTATGTTACACAGAGTGAAGGATGACTCGATTTTAGTTTACGTCTCTTTTTTATGGGCAATCTGGAAAACTAACATTTATGTTGCTGAGGGCTGGGCTTACTAATCAACACGGTCCCACCCACACACAGAAGTGACTCTGGTTTCCATTAGCACTGAGCAGCTCCACTTCCACCAGAGCAGCTTCTCGCACATTCACTTTATTACTCAGCCACACTTTGGGAGATTTCAGATGGCACCAGGGAACCACTCACGAGCCGCTTTGATTTGCTTTATTTATTTAGGGTGTGTGTTGTGTGTGCCTGTGTGTATAGTGAGTAAATGGCACTTTGATATTCAAAGCTGTGTCATTCATGTGATGCTGTTTCAGCTGCCAATTAGATTCCAGTGGTGTTTATTTAATCTGACAGTGCCAAAGCACTCACTCTCAATTATCACATAAACTCTGACATAACCGATAAACCAGAAATGGTGATTCTGGTGGATGATATGAGCAAGGAAGTAAACAGATTGAATTACGCTTACTTCAACTCAACACAGGCTAAAATATCAGTGTTTATCTTGTCTTTTTTACACTCTCCATTCTGCTTACTTTTTATAAAATGCAGATTCAAAAATATAACATATCATTGAGGGAGGAAATGGAGGAGGAGGAGGAATGGGCTGGGGGCAAAGATGAAATTTTGACATGTCAATATGTGCACAGGACATAATAACAGCCCAGAGACAAAACAAGACCAGACAGAAAAGCAATAAATAAATGAGGTAGAAAGGGGAAAAATAGAGATGTTGAGAAACAAAATAAGTACAACTGCAAAGAAACAGAAACCAGAGAAGATTAAGGGACCCCCAGAATAACAGTGGGATTCAACCGCTTCCTTCCCGGGAAACCCTAACTCAGGGTAAAGGGCCACAGGACTACCCAGCATTGAACCTTTTCTCTCACTGTTTCCCTCTTCTCCAAAGAAATGCTGTGAGAGCCAACAAAAACACACCACACACATACACATGAGTATTTACACTGAACCAGCCCATGGTAACAGTTAGGATCTTGCAAACTATTTCTCACCCCAGGTCTCTAAAAGTGGTGTACATGAAACAAGGCAGTGCCTTTCTGGCATCACTCTCTCAGGGCCAAATGCTTACCTTTCCAAAGCTTCCAGCCTCATACCCGATAATCGCTTCACTCTGTGGCTATCTGGAAACTGTTTCCTCAGTTCCTGTAGACAGGTCTGCAAGTATGTGGACAGAGGAGAGGGAGAGGGAGAGAGAGAGAGAGCGCAATGTCACACTCACAGACCCGACTCTACAAAAATTTGTGATTTTTATAAATAGAAATCACCTGACTTGAAAATCAATCACTGTGTTTATAGTTCTGATGAAAACCCTTAAAAAAAATGGCTGTCAAAACACTTTGCAGTGGTTATTCTGAATACTGTTGGGCCACAATTTAATAAATGAGAAAGTCTTTCCCCTGGCCTCCATTGAGAGTCTTAAATTGATTTGGTCCCTTAGAGCAAAAGGTGAGAAATTGTTAGAATAATATGGAGTATTATCCTGAATGAGACGGGAGAGTCTGCAATGTGATCGGAAATGCTATCCAAGTCTGAAGTCTGGTCCTCCTGCGTTTTTAGAGTCTGGCAGCAGTGCTGAAAGCGTAGCCAACAGACAACTATTTCTAATGACTGAGTTCTGCCTTCTCTGTACTCAGTGAGTCACACTTTTCGCCAAAAGAGTCGTCACTTTCAGGCTGATTACAAATGAACCATTTCAATTACCACAACCTCCAAGTCTTTTTTATCCCAAGCAGATTTTACCGTTTTCACAGCTATGAATATTAAAAGATGAACTCAAAAACATTACATTGGGCTCCGGGAGGGCAAAAAAACAATAAGGATAAAAAGCAATAAACGACAGCCAAGTTCAGATAAAACTTAAAGCATGTTTCTCTCCTCATTTGCTAAACCCTCTAATTCCAACTCTCAGGAAATTGTTTTTTCAAAGTACAGACAGAGTAATGCCATTTGGCCAAATAAAAATTAGATTTTCACAGCAAAACAGGAATGGCTGCGACTTAGCATACCATTAGTTTTGAAGTATCTGTCTGTGTGTGCGTGTGTGACAAGAACCGAAAAAACATACCAGGGCCAAGTCATCCCGACTGCAGTCAAGAGCTGCGATCATCACCTGCTCATAAATGATCCATACTGGGCAGAAAGGAAAGAGACATACAAGGTTCTATAAACAACATTTGGTGGAGCATGAAAAAAAGGTTCCACATTTAAGTGTACACTCACACAGATTTCAAGTTCATTCAAACTTTCATGTAAAACCACATTTACCGTTGCCTTTGCGAAGCTTTAAACCAGGCCCTTGTCTCCTTTCTCTACTTACCTTTAGTTGCAGCTCAGCCACAAAGCTTATAGACAGCAGCTCTGTGACTGACCATTAAATTCACTCCGCTATTATTATTCACACAAATATGTAATTGCCAATAGTTTGGAGTGGCTCTCAGAAATATTTGAGCCCATAAATGTTAACCAACACAATTATCTCTATAAGAACTGGGACTTCCCTGGGAGCAGTGAAGTGCAGCCCACTGCCCCTACTTCATGGTTTAAATAAAGTAACAGTTTATATTCAGTGACAAATATAGTTGCATTTTCCTCATTCAAACCTAAAAGTGAGCTATAATGTTGCATGTGGAGCAAATGTTGATTTTGGGTTTAAGCTATATTAATAAGGAGAGAGAAAAAACAATAGACCACATGGAAGAGATAGAGTTCAGATTTATATAATTACTAAGACATGTAAACAGACTGTTCTGAGAAACAGACTGAAAATCTCAAGTCAAACAAACATTCTGCATTGAAAATAAAACCCTAATCCATCCAAAGACCGTGCATCGATGGTAACAAGGGCCAATCTTGCTCAGAGAATCGCCCTCCCATTTCAAAGACAATTTAAAATTTGGTTTCCGAAAAATCATAGTATTGTCAGCCTGCTGCGGAATGTATTAGTCATAATGACTAAAGGAAATGCAAAAAAGAAAGATACATAAAAGAAAAAGAATAAGCTGGAACAGTGCTGAAATTGTTATTTTTACAGATGTGAAATACAATATTTTTCCACACTAACCTCTGATACAGAATATTATAGCAAAAAAGCTGTTTTTTTTTCTAGCTGGTTGGGGTTTGTTTTTAGGTATTTCTCATCTTTTATTTAAATAAGTATGTTAACCAAGCATTTTGTTTTAGTGTGTGACGTTGAGGTAGCTGATGGAGAATACCGAGTAAGTGTACAAAACATATATAAAGGGTATTTCCCATGTCACTAGTCGTTGTCATTACACATATGTGAGGTTTCTTTTCCTTACGCTTAAACACAAGTCAAACCACATGCTTAAACGTATAAGATTTTTAAACACTTACTGTCATCTCCCAGTTTTGAGCCGTGTTCGCTGATGAGCTCTTCACCAACATCCACTATTTGTTCACTATTTCTGCAGTTATCCTCCCTCCATTTACGAAGTTTGTCTCTCATCTCTGTAGGTAAAACAGAAAACCACAGGACGTGATGGGGCTATTGGAGTAATATGTGTGCAGCTAGGAGAAACATGTCTCAGACAGTCAACCTCTGCAGAAACTGTATGCTATAACCTTGCTATAACGTTCGTTTGTATCGCTTGCAAACGAGGTGGTATCATCAGACCATATAAAATTACAATCTATAGCTACAGCTAAAAAATGTTCAGGGTATAGAACAGTTTTACTGTAATATCTCGTCTAATACGCCGAGTGGATGACCACTGTCAGTTATTCGTTAATGCTAACTAGCTTCGGCTAGGTAGCACTTATCGTTGATTTCTTACATGAACACAGAATCAGTCTGACAACTTCCAACAGCTTTTCCAATACGGGATTACCTATTTATGTATACAAATTGCACCGATTGGGGTCGTTTATAAATATTTAAGGTCTTACCTTCCCAACCCACATCGTACAGTTCTGATACCGACGCCATCTTTTTTTTCCTTCGTCAACATACGTCGTCATCTACGTCATGGGGTTTGCTTACGTTGCCTTAAGACGAGTACATTTTGCACGCCATTAAATCATTTATTATGATTATAATTTTTTTTTATGTTTTCATGGAAAAAATAACCCTTGTTATTATTATAGTTATTATAGTAAAAAACTCGCAAAAGTGCAGTATGATTAAATATAAAAAAGTCTGCAGAGTCAAAACAGGATGAAATTTATGTAATACAGAATAATTTGTTTATACAAATATCTTTATTTATATAGTTATATTTTTATCAAATGGTCTTGAAAACATTTTAGAATACATTAAAATTAATGTATTCTAAAATGTTTTCAACCAACATGACTTCATGCCAAAGGTTTGCTGGTGGGGAATACAACTGACCATAAAATCTCTCAAACACTTTTAAAAATATGGAATGTATTTTTACTGCACAATGACCAGTTTGTCCTGATTTCACCCAGGACCCTCCATCAAGCGCATCAACACGCTCTATATGTTCTCAATCACTTTTTTATCTTACCACACTGAACACTGTACATTGCAGACTCAGCATACAGTTGTTTACGTGGACATTTCAGAGATCCAATGTCATATCTATTGCTGCACGATCAATATTATTTTTCCTTGGACCATGTTTTGAGATAGAAAAGAGAAATATTTTGTCTCTAGAGAAGATTTGATATTGTAAAACAACCAATGCATCATCAGTAACAGACAACAAACAAAGGACTGATGAAATGTCATCACTTTTTTCCGGAGAGCAAATAACAACAGTGTGCAGTTACTGTAAGGTTACAATCAACTTTGGCATCTGTGCAGTTGTAATTTTCAAGTCTTCATATGGCAGTCAGTTGATATGTGGTTGGGCTTTTGCTGGAGCATAGAATACCAAAGAAACCACATTAAAACGGTAATTCACCGTCCACCGTAGCAGAGTGTGCCGTGGCTGTGACTGACCGTAACCCTGAGAGGCAGCTGTACTGTATGTCGTCGTAATGAAATAAGAATAACAAAAAAAGGCTCCTGACATAAAGTGCCTGTTGCATTTGGAGCACTTGTCTAGCTCAGATATGTCACAATAAGGAGACCAATAGCAGCTCTCTGAAAACCCATATTGTACTGCATGGTTGGCACTTAAGTAGGTTTCCATGCTTTGGTAGCCCCCACATGTGGCCCACGGGACATATTTATTTTTCTTACTCAGACTATGTATAAAGAAGAGAAAGAAATATTCCAGCAGAAATACACTATACCCATTATATTTTGATCTCTGACAAAAGCAACCACAGCTGGCAATCTCTAAAATGAACAATAATGATTGAAGTGAGTCTGAGGTGCTCTTTGTGCTTTTGAGCTAGTTTCTGTTCCATGTACATTTCTTTTTTTGGTAGAGTAGCACAGAGAGGTGAGGAAAATAAAGGGAGATGCAATTAGTAAGAGTATTTGTACTGTGCTTACTTTAAAATATAATTAGCTCTTATGTCTAATGAAGTTACATTAGCTTCAGTACAGCCTCTGATGATATTCTTCTGTTGTGTTCTTCACCTTGTTTACTTCCTGAATGAGTAGGTAATAACGAAACATCGCTGTGAGACCATATCACTCTGTTGCCCTTCTCTGTCTTAGATTTAGTGTCAGGTCCAATATTTAGCTTCTTGTCAGAGAATCACCGTGCTTGGAAATGATGCTAATTGCACAGAATAAACTTTTGGACTCCTCACTACTTCTTATAGTCTGATTGTTGAAAGCATTTTATATTAACACTTCAAGCCGAAACTGAGAGATATTTGCCAATACTCTTGCTGCTGAAATTGTAAATTCTACTCCTTCAGTTTGGTGTAGTTCAGAGGATGCCAAGGTGAAAAACAAATATCAACTATAACTAAAAGCTGTCTTCGCACAGCTTTTGCGGCAAATGTACATTTATTTTTCTTTCATCTGTCTTTTTCTTTAACACATTGCCTAATTCTAAAATCTGAACATGTATGTTGTAACAACATGTGAAATTAATTTTAACATAATTATCCCAGAGTAGACATACAAACTTCTTTTGTCTGTTAACATACAGTGATTTTAAATTAATACATTGCTGCGCCTCCCCCTTCTAGAATTTATAAGAGTTAAAAAGTCAGACTGGATCACATTGTATTTGAGCCTAATTTTACGTAACACACATGTAGTCGTATTAAAGTGAAAGTCTGATTTGTGAAAGAGGATTTGGCTGTAATGTAATAATTCTAACACCTCTGAGCCAAATTTTGAGGTTTTATTTTAATTCTTGATGTCATATCCAAGAATCACATCATCTTCTTTCTGAGTCTCTGCAGCTGGTGAAGTGTTTAGTCATTCCAGCAGCATTTATTATATTAGTCTTACTTAAAATATAAGCACTTCTCCACTCTCTCTGGGGGTCTGACTAGAGGTTTGACATTAATAGAAGAGAACTATAGTTTAATAGTCTTAACTTTCTTGCCCTCAATTCATCAAGTGTTTCATTTAGAGCAGGGGTGTCAAAATTAAAAACTGGGACGAAGTTGCAGGCCAAACTTAATATTTATTGAAAAAAATGATGGCAATTTTGCACATTTTCCCTGCTCTCCAGATATGTAATGATTTTTTTTCACATGGAAACAAACTGGAACAACCAAAGCTAAATATTATAAACACATGAGAAAATAAGCAAACTTAATATTTATTGAAAAAAATGATGGCAATTTTGCACATTTTCCCTGCTCTCCAGATATGTAATGATTTTTTTTCACATGGAAACAAACTGGAACAACCAAAGCTAAATATTATAAACACATGAGAAAATAAGTTTGAAATAAAACACACATCAGTAATATTTGTTTCTTATTATGTCACTTTATCTGTAGCCTTTCCAGTTCCTTTTTAATGTAATTTTGTTTTGTTTTTTTAACATCAAAAAAACCCAAAGGGGGCCTATATACTGGCAGGCCAATTCTGGTACACATTTGATATGATCTTGTGGGCCAAATATAATTTTGACACTTGATTTAAAGGTTTCTACTTAGCTGCTAAAATGGACAAAGTAGCTATTTTAAGCACATTCTATTTACAAGTTGACTTTTTAAAATCCCTTTCTCTGTAGTTAAAGCCTGTCTCTAATTTGCATAACAAAGTTATCTGATTTGTCTCTTTTCCGAGTTTAATTGATCAAGATCACAGATTTGGAGACTGTGTCATGTTCCATGTAATGTCACGGTTTCTAAGAAAATTGCAATGCAAGCATTAATTTAACACAGATCAAGGCGAGAGGGCATGGGAGCAGAACTTGTCGAGGAAGAATTAGCTAGGTCAAGTATTGATCCACTTCCCTGTGCACCCATCTGGGTCCTGGATGACGTGTGTGAGTACAAGTCTCTCCTTGTATGTGCAGGACACATGTGTTGCACAGATGTTCAACCATTTTCCACTGGCTGCTTTAAGTTTATATTGTTTTCTGGTCAATATAGACCTGGTCTGTAACCTTCATCTCATTGCTACTGAGTGTGACAGTGCTGAAATCAGCACTGTGTGCTGAAACAGAAATGTGAGCCACTGATTTATAACCTGACACACACCCACAGTGAGGTGATGCATAGAAAAAGTTCACCAAAGAATAATTGAAATTCATATGAGATGCTGGAATACAGTTTCCAGGCAGGGATGCTTGGCTTTGCAAAATCTAGGGTCAGGTCATCCCTCTTCAGATCTTATTGATTTATATTTTGACAGATATTAGAATGTGGCCAGTGGTGGGTGTCTTTGGCAGTGTCGTTTGCTCTCCCCTCTCCTAGAATCATTTGTTGACCAAAAAGCTTTCAGGGAACTTGAGAGCTGAGGTTTTTCTTGGAATATTTGGCCCATCAATCCAGCAACCTTTGAGTTCATCTCATTCAGGCTGAGGAGTAATTGTAGCGACACTAAGACGTAGTATGTTGGATAATTCCTGTGCATGCTGAAATGTATCGATGTTTGTGACAGCTCGTCAGCACTGTAAGTGGGTGTCATCTGGGCAAAAAATTCACCGTCTGCAACTTTCCTCCTCTGAAAGACTCTAAATGGTGACTCTGTTCAGTATAGAAAGGGTGCTGATGGGAACACAGCTTTAGTAGGATTCACCTTAATATAAGGTATTTACACTAAGAAGCAAGAAAGAGTTTCAGTATATCAGAATCTTAACAGACAGATGAACAATTTGATTTTGACAAAGAAAAAGTGACATGTAGAAAAAATGGATATACAGTATCAAAATCAGAATTTAAAATATTTTATTAAATATTCCTAAAAGGGGATCCTGCAAGAGCTTTTCAAAAGAAAATGAGACATTTACTCTAGTATTAGAGATAGGAAAAGAGGGAAAATAATTAAAAAAAATAAGTTTAGTAGCTGAGCCAAGTTTAAATGTGCAATTTCAGCAGAGTCAGGATCTGGTCTGGATCTGACTTGTTGTTCATATTACCAGAAAAAACATAACTAACATAACTAATACAGTATTTTTTTTTTGTTTTATTTGTTAGTTTATTTTCTATTCTAATTTATATTTTGTTATTTTAGTTTATGTTTTTTATTACATTTCTTGCTCGTTTGCACGAGGATTGTAGTTTTATTTTTTTGTCTGGTGTAAATGGCATATCTGTCTCAATAAAGTTGACTTGACTAAGGGTATTTGTTTAAAGAGATTTCGTTCAACTATTTTAGCCAGACTTTCTGACCTATCAATGTCAAGAACACTTCCAAAAAGTGGTCAAATAAAATATTCAGAAGCACAATCTCTTGTAAAGTGATAACTTTTTGGTTTTATATGTGTGGTGTGTCTTGTGCCTGTTTCCAGTCAGTAATTTCACCCATACCACTTTCCACTGTGTTGCTCTTTGAAGCTAAGTTACAAGGAGTAGTGACAGAAATCTGCACTGAAGAAATGGGACACCCATGCAAGGATGTGTTGAATCACCAGAAATCTCCGACATGTCAGTGGGTGCTTTGCAACCTCAGGTCAAATAACACAGTGATGCACGTGGACTTCAAATGGTTGGAGCTCAGATCAGCTTAGTGTGACGACAAGAACACACAAACTTCTCCTCTGTTTTCGTCAGCAACAGCACAACAACATAATGTGCTTTCATCCTCTGCCTGTGGTTTGAAAATAATCAAGAGTCACAAGTGGGACAGTGTTCTTTGTTCTGACCATTAGTCGTTTGACTGTCAGAGGGGAGATCGTCTTGAAGGAAAGTTCTCTAGCTATTTGTTTAACTTTGATATGTTTAGTCACATTGCCCAAACAGAGAGGTGCTGTTGTCAGTTGTTGGACATTGAGAGCTCAACTCAGGCGACCAAACCTTTTGTGGTCACTTTGACGTATTAATTCTCTCTGGTCAGGTTCTCTTTAACTTTAAACAAATACACTGATGCTCATTTCACACACTTTTGATGTGGTAAATCAATAAGATATAAAGAATAAAAAATATTTATGGAATAATTTTATTTGAAATACGAACATGATCTTTTTTTTTCTAAGATAAAAGGTACAGTCAGTCACTGGTTATTTTAAGTTGAAAGTAAATTATTACATCAATTCATCTCCAAAAAAATACACATAATCGTGTCCAAAAGAAAGCCATAGTAAGACTTATTATTTTTATGATATAATGCAATAGCATTTTAAAGTAATTACACTTGTACAGCACACTACAGTGGATGCTATTATTCAATATATAAGTAAACATTGCTCTTTGTCAGAGCTGCCTGGATTTATCCCCTGTTATAGTTTGTTTGGTTTAATCATCTCCATGCCCATTTTCCCCACTCTCTCCAGTTTGTGGGTTTGGGTTTGTTTCTCATTAAGGGGATACATGAGTAAGCTGGCACCGTGTGTTTTAGAGAACATGGGTTTAGTCTAGTTGATGCCTAAGTAGTGTTTGAATTGTTTTTTTTTCAGCCTATCTGAGGTTGAAATTAATCGAGACCTAGCCGTAAAACATTCAAATAAGTGGAGTATTTAATATTTAGTATTTTTAAGTAATATTTAATCTTATTTGGGAAAAAAGAAAAAAGAGATATTGAGACATCATAAAATGGCATACCGACTAAATTCAAGCAAAAGAATAATAAAGAAACTGGAGTAAAATGAAACAAACTTTTTGACATTTGTCTTTGTAACCAATGTTTGTGAATCTTAGCATTGAAAATTGTATAAAAATGTGATTGTCAAACTATAAATTATAAAAGTGAATAGTACAAAATAATTGCTTTAAGTTGTCAAACTGAGGTAAAATAGATATTTTTCACAAGGTGTTGCAGAAGCAGGTATCTTAAAATTAACTGTAATTAATTAAAAGTAACTGTTAGATAGGACCTGGATGTACCTAACCTTCATCATCATGGAACCAAAAATAAATGTTATGGATGCGGAACGGTCATGGCTTTGTTCAGTTTGAGCAAAAAAACAATCTGCTTAGTTTTAGGGAAACGATTGTGGTTTGGGTTAAAATAAGCACTTCCTCAAGGTCAGAGGGCTTTTGTTGTCATGGCTACAACAAACACATGGTTAAGTTTGTGGAATGGTCATGGATTAAAGAAAACAATGCTGGGAAACAAACTGCGGTTTCCTGTGTGAAAGTCTTTTTTTGACAACCCATACATCTACTACATTTTGTTGATGCTTATGGTCTGCTCTAGTTCACCACCATCATGCCATAGTACCGCCAGCCATGAGAGGTCAGGCAGCAGTAGTGTATAGGTCTGAACACCTCGTGGTTGGTCGTTAATAATAAAGGAATGGTTGATTTATTTATTATTTTTGCAAAACTTTGATAGAGCACCTTTAATACTTGGGTAATGCTTGTCAGACCTGACAAAGCTCTGGGCTGCTTCAGTGCACAGGCCACTAGGTGAATTAGCACACGGGGAACAAAAAAAAAATCACATAAAATGATAAAAAAAATTGCACTATTTGGCGTTTGTAGGTGTTAAGTCAGGAGTCCCTTTTGGAAAAAATTAGCTTTTGAATTGCTTTGCTCTGATAGCATTTAGTAACTTGTTCCACCATGGGATAACCACAAACCAGAACCATCTGGACCTGATGTGGTGGGTTTTGACTGAAAATCAAAATGAATATGAACAGATGACATTTGTGAAACCACCTTTTTTCATGATTTGCAAAAGAAGCTGTGCAGCAGGTTTTTTATTTTTCAACTGTTTCTTTGTAAATCTTTAAGAACTTATATGATTCAATAGTTGCCACACAGGTGACTTTTTTATGCTGCACAAACAGAATCAGAAGGTTTTGAGTGAGCAAAAGTGAAACTCTCTTTTTTTCTCTCTGTCCCTCTCAATAACTCTCTAAATCTCTTTCTATCGTTTATTTTATTTTAAAGCGAGCTGCCAGTGAGCCAGAGCCGACTGTGTCAGAAGCACCCAGTAAAACAGCATCTGGCCATGCTGGTGGTGGTGGTGTCTGTTTATGACTCATTTCTACCTGCTGTCAGGCAGCAGGGAAAAGTGGAGAAGAGAGCAAGGTCAGTGGTTAACAAGGGCAGAATTGTACAAGGATACAAAACAGTGCCGTGTGGTTGTCAAGAAAACAAGGTAGCAGTGAAACCTATTAGAGATGTGTCATTTAGTAGCTGATATTGGCTGTTGTCAGGCGCAGGTATGGTCGACACATGGGCATCTTTACAAGGCGACTGCTGAAAGAGTGGGGGTGCCTTGTGTGCAGAGTGAAGACATTCTAACTTGGTGGAAAAATTAAATGATTGGAAATGGTCCGGTTGTTTTCATATGAATCGAGCTGGCTGGTGAGCACGGGTTCATTATTACTACATTGCTCTAAAATGGGTTCAGTCCCATAAAGAAGTCACACATGAGCTTTCATGAGAAATATTGGTGGTATCTGGGGAGGAATTATGTTTTTACAATATCCACATGAATGTCTACTGGACACGTTTCACTGAAAGAAGAACTATACTTTTTCAAATTTAGACATTAACATCTCTTTGCCTTGGAGGAGTTGAAGAAAAAAGATAACTCCATAGTTAATTATTAAAAAATAATACATTGTTGTTTATAACATCAACAATGGGTCTAATAGGATCGACAGGATAAGAGCTAGACAGAAACATACTTGACACACAATCAATGTCCATTCCTATATTCTAGTTTTCACATGGAGTTGAAAAAAAGGCAGACAATATGTTGTCTTATTTTTTTAGTAATAAAGGGATTATGGACACTTTTGAATTTAAACTAACTCTGACCTGTTGATGTTTATTTTATTTTATTTCACATTTATGTCATTCAGAAAGACATGCTGCAGTGTCATTTTTTTAGTTCAGAATTTATCAAGCAGCCTGGAATGAACCGGTTGTTTGACACCTCTGGGTAAAAAGAAGCAGCAATACAAACAAATACAACACAATGTAGGCAATAGGTAATGTAGATAGTGGAGTGGGGTCAGGCTAGATACAGAGAAAATAGAAAAAATACTATTCTCAGAAATATTTATAATTAGAATGAAAGTAGACATAAATAAGCTATAAATATATATTTGACCACATTTCGGGAATGCATGTTTATTTTATATTACTTATGCAAAATATAGACTGATAATACAGCATTTTTTTATTATTTTTTGTGAATAAAATGTATTAAATTTTTCCAAGAAAGTAGCGCCCATACAAGTTTTGTAAACATAACCGTGTCCCAACACCGGAATGTTTAACATGGTTTAACAGTGTCGCTGATTGGTCCGTGCCTCTGTATACACTTACATCACATTTCCGCTTCCTTTTCCTCGGCGCAAAGATGGCGGACTACGACCTCACCACTAAAATTGCTCATTTTTTAGATCGACATCTTGTGTTTCCTCTTCTGGAATTTCTATCTGTTAAAGAGGTATGGTAAATTTAATTACACGCGAGCATCTACGATGTATTTTTAGGTGATGGGTAGAGCTATTTGGGGTTGTTTAAGCAATCGAATAAAACAACACTCGCGAAAGAGTTGGTCACATTTTCTTCGGCTGTGTAAAGAAACCACGTTTACACAACCGGAAATAGAACGTATTGCCTTCGAAGTAAAACCCATCATCAGAAAACTGACAGAAAATTCGATGCCTGGGAGATGTACTCACCGATCTACGTGGATGTATCGCCATATATAGTATAAAAAAATACGAAATCAGTTCATTATTACAACTTAGCCTTTTGTACAATTTGTTTATATACTGGAAAATGTAACTCTGAAATGCAAAGTACCGGAAGTAATCGCAAGCCTTTGTCATTCATTGAGTTTCACAGCTAACGATAAGCGACACGCAGTATTCTCAAATTTCATCTGAGCAAATCGTAGTTGAGGAAGACAGCACTGTTTCATAAACAATATAGGCAATTACTGTCATCACGAAGTTGTATTTCCCAATAGATTTTACGTTGTATTAATGCAATGTCATTAATGTATAATGCAGAGCGGAGTAGTACAGTTCTGAAATACAAAATAACTTTCTCCCCAGATACAACTAATCTTAATAAAGGAGAAACGCATGTTTTATAGAAATAGGAGTAACAAAGCCAAAGGAAAATAGCTGCTTAATATTATAAGGCACAACCGTTGCGCTGTTTTTAATAAGCGCCGTCTTACCCAGAGCAAGCTATTAACACAATGTAACAGGCTTTACAGTATTTGCAGGACACTGACCAGGTAATTGAGGGAATAATAAAGTTATAAACGTGGTACTATATTATTCAGTTTTCTCATAGCCATATGGAACATCAAAGCATTTCCGGTTTACTTCCGGTGCTGCATTGTTAACCACGCATGGGTCCTCATAATGAACGTTTATTGCATTTATTGCAAATGCATCTGTATTAGTCAATTTAATCTTTTGACCTCAAGGTTCTTTCAACTGCAACAAGTTGAGAAGTAGAAATAGTTAAAATTTCAGCAAATGCCTCTTAACATTAAAAACGGGCAAATGAAATACTTTGTTGTTTATAAATATAACAGATTAATTAAAAATGAAATAATTTGGATATAAAATAAATAATTTCTGTATACCTTTTGAATTTATTGTTCGCTTTGTCCATGACTTGTGTTTTTTTTAGATATACAATGAAGAGGAATTACTTCATGGAAAACTGGATCTTCTTAGTGACACAAACATGGTGGACTTTGCCATGGATGTGTGCAGAAGCCTTTACCCTGAAAAGGATATACCCCACAGTAAGTCTTGGCCTGTACACACACACACACACACCTCATCACCATTTCTGCAACAACAACACATCTCAACAGTCATCATAAAGCTGTGCTGTACCACCTCTCTCTCCATGTTTACAGAATTTTCAGTGCAGGGTCATTACAGAGACCATGTAGACATGGTATTACTGTGACTAATCAAGTTCTTTCACTTTCTCGTGTTAGCTCTGAGGGAGAAGAGGACAGAGGTTGTGGCCCAGCTCAAACAGCTGCAGTCTGAGACGGAACCAATAGTTAAAATGTTTGAGGACCCAGAAACTACAAGGCAAATGCAGTCCACCAGGTAAAGCTCAACTTTTTTTTTCAACGGAAGTGGTTTCTTGCTTTTGGTTATTTTGTGTTTTTGTTTTTTAACAGTTGTCCTGTTTTTTTCCCTTCATTCCATCCTTCGAAATGATCAGTTAATGTCAATGATGAAGTAAAATGTGCTTGGCTCTATCAATAAGTGATTCCTGGATTACTGAAAATCTGAAAGATGACCACCACTGTTTGTCTTAGTGTAAGAAAAAAGGCATTCAGCCGTCTCACTGTGAATGCAGAGAAAGGTCAACAAGGTTAGAACAGATACAAGACGTTGTGGTTAACTTTATTAAGACCTCCTGCCCCCTTGTCCACAGTGATTATAATAGTTAGGTCATATTTGGTCTTTCTCCTTTCCTTTTGTTTCTTGGCCGATGTGTGTGCAGTTAATCAAAAACATTTTCCATTTTCATTTTGTACTGCTTTATTATGATGTTTTCTTTGGGTTTCAGACATATGTTTATTTGAGCCACAGATTTGTAGGGACTCTTATGTGAGATCTGAAGACCGATAATAGTAACATTGACTTTGCACATGTCTGTGTTATTGTTCGTTCGCTGTCACTGCAGAGTAAGGGAGGAATCTTCTTTGGGGATGATGAATCACATATCTGTCTCCAGTTACGTTATTTTTTTCCCCTCCTTGTAGCATGGGATTTGTAAAAACAATTGGGATCTCATCTGGGGTCAATAAAAATTCTGTTCAAGGCCAATGGACATTCAACAGTTTTATTTCACCACTATGGGCAAATTATACTAGATGTTTGCTTGATTTTAACATTCTGTCTGGATAATGGGATTACCCAATACTAGCAGTGAATATTGGGTTGACTTCTGATTCTGTTTCCCAGTCCATTAAAAGTTAATACAGATACATTTATAAAGCATTTTATAGGATTAGAAACAGATTTCCTTTTATAGCCGCTAAAGTTATATTTCCTAGGTGGATTTTGAAGGTAATCTGAATAGTAAGACTTTACATTATATCAAAACTACTTCTCTAATGTGTTTGTCTTTAACAGCATGCGATCAGTTGGAATTTGTTTTGCATCTTGGCATCCATCTTATCTCTACATGTCAGAAGTTACATATTGCAGTTAATACTGCGGTACTGTCCGTTTTATTTGACTGTATTTTAAAGGACAATTTACAATGTTATAAATGTTAAACCTGTATGTTCTTCTGACTTAATCTAGATTTCAAACTAACTTGCTCATTCTCTGTGAGTTTCAATCCATGTGGAAATTGCATAGGTATTTACGTCACATGTATGTAGAATGAGGCAGTTAATAGTTTCTTGCCAGCAAATAAGTCTGTACATTAATGTACAGATGAACAACAAAGTGTATGAACACAGAAATATTTTTAAAATTTGTAAAAGATTTTATGGTAATGTTTCTGCAAATATTTTTTGGGCAGACCATGAAGAAAAAAATATCATAGAAATGACTTAGAAATAGCTTTGCTAAGATATAATTTGTGCAAACATAACTAGCATTGATCCATCCTTGCCAAACCAAATATAATAAACAGCCCATCGGTGTTCAGTCCTTGATTTAGTACAGAAGAGGGGAAATATACCTGATAAAGATTCCAAACACACAAGAGGATGTCAGCCAAATGAAGACTGGAGTTAAATGGTCTCTAACTACAGCAACTGTCATGCTTTTGTCTTTCTTTGCAGAGATGGACGGATGCTCTTTGATTATTTGGCTGAAAAACATAACGTAAGTTGGTCTGATTCGCTGACATCTCACTTTTTTACTGCATTTCCCATGGCTTGTGTGTGAACCCATGGTTGTTTTAGCGCTAATGTGGGAGGGGCAGGGCGAGCAGGGAAAATGCAGAATTACTTCCCAAAACCCTTAACTCATTTTCAGGGTTTGTATGGCTTGCACAAATTCTGCAGACATTTACATTCTGTGGTGGATCGTCAAGAATAAACGGAGTAGCTCGAGACTCATGGATAGAGCCGCAAGAATGCCGGAGCTTCTATATTTACCGTGATGTTTGGCTTCTTACACTCCCCTCCATCGGTCCCCTCCCACTCCGGTATCCCACTGACCTGCACGCTGTCCTCAGTGCACCTCCACACTGCCCAGGCCCAGGGCCCCACAGCCTGCTGTGGGAAAGGCCTGGGCGGCACGGAGTACCCGCTGCCGCTGTGACAGTCAAACCGAACCTCAGGGAAAGGTCCTGACGTCAGCGTGCACAATGCGCAGATACTGCAGCAGAAAGAGGAAGGTTAAATATAGGAAGACACGTAGGCCTGAAATGATAGCCCTATATATACATCTCTAGAGCTAAATTAGCTCATATGACCACTTTTTTGGCAGCTTTGTTGCAAAAGTTAAATTTTTCTCTTGCCAGGACGAAACACCAGTGATACGATAGCGGTGTTTATTCTATATCCATTTAGCACTGGCCTGCCACCACAGAGAGGAAACTATGTTACTGCTGCAAATAAATCTGAAATTAAAAATAGTGTGGTGCTTTAGTTACACGGATCTACATTTTTTTTTCACTTGTAGCCCAGATGTTTGAGAAGTTGGTCTATGACAATAAAAAGCATTGCTCTAAAGGTTTTAAAGCACATTAGAATCTATGCATTTCTCTTCTATAATGAGTGTTTTTATGACGTCAGTGCACTTGTGTTTCTCTTAAAGTTTCGTCAAGAGTATTTGGACACACTGTACAGATATGCCAAGTTCCAGTATGAGTGTGGAAACTACTCTGGTGCAGCAGAATACCTCTACTTCTTTCGTGTTCTGGTAAGTTGTCTGTTTCTTTCTTTTTCTTTTTTTCTTAAGAGATGTTTACTGAGCACCACCTTATCAGACTGTCTCTGGTGTTTGACCATGGTGTCTATAAATAGTCTTCAGGAAAATCTCTCTTATATTAAAATTGAATGCTACGTTATGTTTGCCAGATTGTTTTAATTCCTCCAAAGGCCAAATGCATGAAAAAGTAAAGGAAAGAACACTTAAAACTAATTGAATGTGAAAAGCTTACGTCATTGCCTATTCAATTCACCGCACGTTCTGTGTGTTAAGTGGAGACTGCAGCTCAAGGATTTGAGTGGGATCTTTAACTGGGCCGAGTGATCTGTGCCGGACTGCATAATCTGTCTGTAGTCTCCTCAAGGGGCGGGCTCCAGCAGACAGCTTATTGATTCGAGTGCAGTGGCCAAGAGTCCCCTGTCACGACTTCTTAGCTTGTGGTCCACTTATTTATGCAAGGTATCTTTTTTTTATCGGGAAGAAGGTGCCACGCACTTAGCAAGGTGTCATAGTCTGGGTGTTATGGTGGAAAAATGTATGCATTACAACAATGAAATAATGTCATGGATGAATATTTTAAAATACCATTCTGTGCCAAAGTATGTTTTGCAGAGGAAAGATAATTATAGTTGAGGGAGAGCACTGGCACAAGAGTTTGTTAGTGCACATGCACACTCCCTATTTCCTCTATAAACAAAAAGAATTGTTGCCTGGGTTCTGGAGTTTAGTTTGTGGCTTTACTCCCTTCAGGAATGGGCTGAAAGTTGTGCGAGGCCATGAATGGGCTGCATCCTAACAACATGACCCTGCTCTGTTTGAGTGTGCGTCAAAAACACATGTGTTTCATATGGATATGTTTAATATGAGTTTCTGTGTTGGAAAGAGTCGTTTTAATGTAGTCTTTCTAAGAATAAACATTTTTTAGAAGGTGCTGATGAACAATATATTTCTCCCCACTTCTGTATAAACCCTAATCTGTATCAAGAAATCTTCTGACCAACTAACGAAACTTCCAAATTGAAGAAAAAATACTGTTTATAGACTTAACATTGTGATCAGCTGCTGACCAACTGAAGCATTTGTGTAATCTGATTAACATTTTCATTATTGAGTGTGTATATTTTATATATTTATATATAGACTTTTTTTATCCTTGATGACGACAACACTGCCTTCACCACTTGCTTTTAGCACTAGATCCAAAGTGAACGTTAACGCAATTTAATGAGTCACCAAAAGGAAAATCTGGCCTCATAAGTGAAATTATTGTTTTTAGTTATGACATCTAATCATTTCCCTTTTTAATTTTTTTGATACATTTTCAGAACGACCACATTTCTAGCAGAAACAAAAACATTTTTGTCTCTTGAAAAATGCTAGCAAGTTCAGCTCAACTGAATGGACTGTAATGACCAGTGGAACTGGCCCACATAGTCAGTGGTTTCCCAGTGTCACTCACTTGTTCTTTTTGCTTTTACTTCTTTTTGGTTCAAGTTTTAACTTTGTGGTGAAGCAGAACTTCGTGCCAAATTCAGGCCTGAAAAAATGGGCAATAAACGATCAACATTTGTCTGTTCATTAGAGTAAGAAACATCTTTGAAGACCATCTTTTCTGCCTATTCTAATTGGCATTCAATACTGCACTTTCGTTCCCCGTGTTTTGGATGTTAGCGATTCTGGCCACTCATTCACATTCAGTACGCTGGAGTGTCCTCTCCTGAACAACTTGGCAGTCATCCTGTACAATGATGAACCCACTTTTCTACAAACAACCCTGTTAACCCAAAGCAGTTGGGTACTTCACTTGATGGGTATTTCACTAATCTATGTGTAGGTGGAAGAGATGCATCCGAGACAAGATGACAAGTAATTTGGCCAGGCTTTCCACTTCCACTTCCTACGCCCCAAAAGAAATGCATTAGAAAATCCTTCAAACGTTTACAACAGATATATCTCTGTGTTCCAGCAACAGTTGTTTATGGCTTTGCAGCTCAGTCTAAATAAACCAAAATTGCTCTAATTGAGGTATGCTGATCGAAGTCCAGCAAAGAGGGATTTTTTTTTGTTTTTACTCCTTAAATATTTAGGCCCTTCATTTTATGTTCCAGCCAGATTGGCCTGTGTAACCTGATATTTGTTGCTTACCCCTGTCAATGCAAGAGGCTTTTTAAATGGAAGGAAAAGGTAGAAATTGATTTTGATGGAGGGAGCTTGGATCTTGGACTCCCCCCTCCTCACTTTTGGGTGTTTTTGTGGACCTCCCATCCTCACAGGCCCCTCGTTTTTTTTCTTCCCTCCCTCCTTATGGGAGAGGTGAAGCTCCATAAAGTCATTTAACGTGGGAAACCCAGTCGATTACACGAAGGAAGCCAGCCTTGCAAAATCCATGCCTCAGGTTTGGTTACAGTGTGGCCTTGTCCTAAAAGAGCAACTTATTCATATCATCACTTAAAGCAGGGATTGAATGTTAAGAATAAAGATTGAGTATCCAGTCGGATCCCTAGCACAGTAAATTTATTGTTGCTGGTCAGTCAGCGAAATGTGCCCGTTTCACAAACCAATGGAAACTTAAGGTAACTACTGGAAAAACCCAGGTATCGAGACTTTTCTAGTGTGGCCACCAGTGAAAGCCAGACTGTGTATGTGTGTGTGCATGCATGTGTGTGTGCATGCATGTGTGTGTGCATGCATGTGTGTAAAGCTGCCATAATGACTTGGAGGTCGGCCATACGTAGCAGGCTGGGACTTCCAAGAGGGAAAAAACTAACAAACAAAACAAAACACTTGAACAGATGAAACTCTGACCTAAATAATTCTCCTGCTCTGGTTGGATCGACCAGCACACCGTCTCTGTCGGACTTTTCCCTTTACCTGCAAAGGTCTCATGATATGGCAATTCATTGAAATAATATCAAAGTGTAACTAGTCTTTGCCAAGGTGAGACGCAAAACAATTTATATCTAAATAATTTCAGCCAATTTGGTGGGTTCCAGCGGAAACCTGCTCTTTTTTTAGTGTTTCCTCTCCTCATACATCTGTCGTCTCTCACAGTCCACTTCAGCGGCTGTCCGTTGGTGTACGGGGGTGTGTGGTTTGCATCTAGGTTTCTCTGACCGCTCTGCAGACACCCACCCCTACTTCCTGCTTGACTCATGTCACTGCGTCTGGTGTTTGGTGTTATCATGAACTCCTGTGCCACAGAGTTTCCCATGAGCCCCAGGGTGTTGTCCAGTGTCCGAGAACAGAGTGATTGCGTGGCAGAGGTTCAGAGGCGTTTTCAACCTGTGTTTCATTACCTTTTTGTTTGTTTTACTCTGTTCTGGAAATCGGAACCAGTAGCCTGCAAGATTTTCACAGTGATTATCTCCACAGAGATGTGCCTTGTTAGTGTCAGGTCATGTTTCCGTCTAATTACCATGCAATAACGATAGGCTTGTAACATAAGGTGACTATTGCAATTATCATTCTCATGGATAAGGTATACAACAAGCTGTGTTTAATTAAATTAGCATTTCTTAAGTTTTATTTTTCTCTGGAATGCATGTAATAACCGCAACCAGAAAGTCCCATTGGCCTTGTCAATGGGTTCGACCTGAAGGAGTGCAGTGGTTTAGATAGCCCAACTAAGCTACCTAATCCTAAATTAAATAGAACATGTTAATAGTAGAACAAGACAAAAGTTGTTATTTGTGGCGATAAATGGCTATAGATTTTTAAGAAGCTTTTAATGGACTTTTATTTTGCAGAGATTATAGAGTATTATTATGTCCATTTTACATCAGTGATTATCAACTGGCAGCCCACGGGCCTAATTCAGCCCACCGAACCATTTAAATCAAGCATGCTACTGGTTTCTAAAATAAACATGAAATAGTAATCTTAGACAGAAATTTGATTTTTATTTCAATTTTTTTGAGTGTCTGGCCCCCAAGGTGTCTGTCCTTGAAGAAATCTCGCCATATGAGAAATATAATTAACAATAATAAAACAAATATTTGCTTCTTGCCATGCCTGTTTTGTCAGTGTGGGAATGCATGCATATGACTGTTCGGGATATACAGATGGAAAATGCCTGCTGGCTAAATTTGGTACAAAGCATCTTTATTTTCCTGAGGTTAATGTATTCGCTGCAATCTCCAAATACCGCATTGTTACTATTACATTTTATGGAGCTCAAGTAGATATGAACAAACCTAGATTGGACCCTTTATACGAGAAGGTCATCTTATATTAAAAAGTGATTGCATAATGCAGCCATGGCATGAAAGATGATAGAAAACATCTCTCATTACCTGGTACAAACGTTTTGTGTCATAATTCTACATGATGCATATTTCAGCAAGTTTCCCTGTTTT